CAAGAATTACAGGCATGCGTTACACGCCCGGGCTGATTTTTTGATTTATTGTAGAGATAAGGTCTCGCTGCCCAGGCGGGTCTCGAACCCGCGGGCTCAGGCAATCCACTCACCTCAGCCTCCCAAAGGCGTGGGATTACAGGCTGAGCCACCAAGCCCCGCTTATACTGTTTCTTAGAACATGTCTCTACATCCAGCTCATGCCCAAGGGGAGAGGATTACTCAATGGTGTGAACACCTAGAAACTGGGAGGCTTGGAAGTCACCTTAGGATGGCTGACGACAGTCTACTCCTGGCCTTTGCACTGGCTGTTCCCTGTGTCTGGACGGCACTTCCCCGGGTTTCTGCATGGCTTCCACCCTCACCTCCTTTATGTCTTCCTCAGAGGCTCTCTTCTTAGACTGACCTCCCCTGGCCACCTTATTTATTTATTTATAATTTTTTTTTTGAGTCAGAGTCTCACTCTGTTGCCCAGGCTGGAGTGCAATGGTATGCTCACGGCCATCACAGCCTCAACTTGCTGGGCTCAGGTGATCCTTCCGCCTCTGCCTTCCAAGTAACTGAAACTACAGGCACCCGCCATCATGCCTGGCTAGTTTTTGTGATTTATTGTAGACACAAGGTCTCACCAAGTTGCCCAGGCTGGGCTCAGGCAACCCTCTCGCCTTGGCCTCCCAAATTGCTGGGATTACAGGCTGAGCCACCGTGACCGGTCTCACCTATCTATTAATAGATCGCACAACTCCCTGGGTAGACTAGATCATGGTACCCAAAGATGCCCAGGTCCTGATCTCTGGAACCTCACGAATGTGACATTTTTATGGCAAAGGGGACTTTGTGAGTGTGATTTTGAGATTGAAATATTATTATTCTGGTGGGTGCGGTGGCTCAAACTTGCAATCCCAACACTTTGGGAGACAGAGGTGAGAGGATTGCCTGAGCTCAGAGGTTTGAGACCAGTCTGAGTAACATAGCAAGACCTTGTCTCTACAATTAAAAAAAAAATCAGCCTTCCAAGTGCTTCCAGCTACTTGGAAGGCTGAGGTGGAAGGATCACCTGAGCCCAGTATGTCCAGGCTACATTGGCAGCGAGTGTGTCACTGCCTTCCAGCCTGGACAACAGTGAGACTCCACCTCAAGGAAAAAAAAAAGAAATATTATCCTGAAGTATCCAGTAGAACTTAAACATAATTGCAAATGCTCTCTTTTCTTTTTCTTTTTTTTGAGTTGGGGTGTCACTTTGTTGCCCAGGATGGAGTACAGTGACACAATCACAGCTCACTGCAGCCGCAACCTCCTGGACTCAGGCGATCCTTCTGCCTCAGCCTCCCAAATAGCTGGGACTACCGGCATACACCATCATGCCTGGGTAATTTTCAAAATTTTTTTTGTATCGTCAGGGTCTCACTATGTTGCTCAGGCTGGTCCTGAACTCCTGGGCTCAAACAATCCTTCTGCCTCGGGCTCCCAAAGTGTTGAGATTACAGGCAGGAGCCATCATGCCCAGCTGCAAACATTCTTATAAAAGAGAGATTGAACTGCACGACAGAGACAGAGGCCACGTGACACTCAGGCAAGGTGTTAGCTTCAGGCTTTGAAGGTAGGGAACGGGTCTGGAGCCAAGGAATGCAAAGGAATGCAAAGAATGAGATTCTAGAAGCTGGAAAAGGCAAGGAAATGACTCTTCTATAGAGTCTCCCAAGGGAGCCCAGCCCTTCTGATACCTTGGCTTCAGCCCAGTGCATCTGTTGACAAAAAAGTTATTTTGGGCTCCACATCTGATTTTTGACTTCTGACTTTCAGAACTGTGAGGAAATAAACATGTGTTGTTATTGTTTTGAGTTGGAGCCTCACTCTGTGGCCCAGGTTGGAGGGCACGATCACAGCTCACTGCAGCCTCGAACTTCTGGGCTCAGGTGATCCTTCCACCTCAGCAAGTGTGCCACCACAAACGGCTAATTTTTTGTAGAGATGGGGTCTTGCTGTGTTGCCTGGGCTGGTCTTGAGCTTCTAGGGTTAAGGGATTCTCCCCACTCGGCCTTCCAAAGTGCTGGGGTTACAGGGGAGCCACCACACAGGGCAAATGTGTGTTTTTTTATTTTTTTGTTTTTAATTTTTTTTTTCTTTAGTAGGAGTCTTACTCTGTCACCCAGGCTGGAGTGAAATGGCATGCTCATGGTCACCGCAACCTCAACCTGCTGGGCTCAGGTGATCCTTCCGCCTCAGCCTTCCAAATAACTGGAACCACAGGCGCACACCACCACACCTGACTAATTTCTTGATTTATTGTAGAGATGAGGTCTCGCCAAGTTGCCTAGGCTGGTCTCAAACCCCTGGACTCAGCCAATCCTCTCACCTCCGGTTCCCAATGTGCTGGGATTGGGAGTCACTGTGCCTGGCAATTTGTTTTTGTTTTTGTTTTTGAGTAGGAGTCTCACTCTGTCGCCCAGGCTGGACTGCAGTGGCACCCTCACGGCCACCACAGCCTTGACCTGCTGGGCTCCGGTGATCCTTCTGCCACAGTCTTCCAAGTAGCTGGAACCACAGGCGAGTGCCACCATGCCAGCTAATTGTTTTGATTTATTGTAGAGATGAGTTCTCACCAAGTTGCCCAGGCTGGTCTCGAACCCCTGGGCTCAGGCAATCCACTCACCTCAAC